CATAATGGCTGATAGCCCTGAGCCTCTCGTAACGCAAATATCTATTACAAAGCGTCTTAATTCAAATGATACGATTACCAAGTCAGTCATTGACTTCTGTGTTGAAGCTTCGCGGTACCAGGTTTACTGATGCACTCTTTGATCCTCGAAGGTGTTCATAATGGACAGCCCGTTGTTTGCACAAAACCGCAACGAGTTCATGCCGTTGTTCTTTCCAGTCACGTTTTTCACTTTCAGTGCTTGCTCTGACATGCACACTGAAATCGCCCATTAGAATGTGGGGCCCCAGAGTCGGCACCTTGTATAGAACAACTTTCACCTCTTTAAGGAAGGACTCATTATCTTTCCAAATTGGGTGCATAGACCTGCGAAAATATCAAAGCTTTAGCCTGCCATTGCCTCAGTCAGATCATTGCCACTCTTCCCCGTGACAGACTTCGATTCAAAGATTCCATAAACCAGATTGTGTTCTACCAGAATACCAACACTGGCTTGAGCGTGTGGCGCAATATCGACACCAGAGTACAAGAGTTCGCTGTAGAAGTTGAGAATTCGAGAGCCCTAACGCTGCGCTGACGAGAGTCCAGACATTTCGATTTGGTACCTTGTAGAATCAACAACTAGCTCCTACTCTTTCCGCTGAGTGATGATGGTCCAGTGGTCTAATTTCTGACAGTAATCTCCCATCGTTCTAGTTAAGCATTTTCTGATGTGCTTTAATGGAATCGCACTCTCTGCGTTCTCCTTTCAGAAAGAGATGGCGACTACGTTGCTGATTGGTATGTTCGTCGTCGCTGTCGTGCTGCTATGCCCGCAGTCTGCCAGAAAGCCATGAGCAGGTTTTAATCACAGTCTTTTCGCAATGCCATTGTCCCTCAACAGCCTGCACACTTTTGGTTTCCCGGGCGACGACCGACCAGAAATTAAGAAAAGGAAGAAAATATAAGGACATGAACAAAAGAGAAAAGAAAAATAAATAAAAGGAGATTAGATAACAGACTCTAAATCACTGGGGATGAAATTCCCGGTTTCGCATGCTGCACCGATTAATTTTATCAGGGGAGATTTGCGTGTCTTGAGCCCGGCAGTGATGCTGCCAGTCTAACATGTTAACGGCCTTGCCATCAGTTCTGCGCTGGTTTATAATAACAAGTTTTATAATGACAAGACTTTCGGCATGTTAACGCTCGAAAACATCTATATGTTCCTTGAAAGGTCATTCAGCTTGTTGGAATTTCATCCAAGTAATTCAATTTCTGCTATCTAATACCTTTTATTCATTTTTCTTCTCTGAGTCGTTGGTCGCTTACCTCTTTCTTTTTCACCATTTACCCACTGTCCTATCATTTCTTTCCATCCATTTTCTTTATTTACATATATTTCGTTACAGTGCCTTAATCAATTACTTTTTGATCATTGTTATCCGTAATTACGTTATCCTCTCCGTAATTATTCGTTTGTGCTGAAAAAGGAAAACAGTTGCGGGTTTGAACAGTTTCAATCAATGCAAACATTTTTTCAGCCTTCTAACCTCTCGTTCTTCATTTATCATGATTAAGAGCTTGTTTATGTCTTTCGAACTGGAAGATGACCATAATGGCTGTGATGATAATGATGATAAAAGTGACACCCATGTTCGTATGGTCACTATTACGGGCCCCATGGCAAGATGAATATAATCGCGGTGATGACGATAATCATTCCCGTCATTTCCATTCACCTTTGTGAAGATAAAACAAAACAAAACTATCAGAAATCAAAGAATAAGAAAAAGTGACAGTGAGAATATTAACGGTGGCATAAACAATATTAGGGGGCCTGAACTGCACTAAATTTCGATTCATAACAAA